AGATCCAATGAAAAAGCTTAATGAACCAACGGTAATACTGCGAAAAATTATGGGCAGCATCCGTGATTGGACGAAGACTAGTGAAGCCCCGCCCCTACAAGTGAACTCGTCCAGTTCGCAAAAGCCTTGAAAGCTCAATGATACGCAATCATTTTAATGGTAGGGATTTCTGTGGGTGAACCCCGCTCCTGTGAGTGAACTCGTCCAGTGTTCATATTTTGCACCATAGTTCAACAACGACAATTTATTTTTCAGGAAACTCACCAATGCTCGGAAAACAGCTCTGGAGCAGATCAGCGGCCAGCACAAGATAGATTATGCATGTGGAAAGCAGCTCTGTGAGTTGCGCTGCCAGTACCCATTTTCCAAAGCCTGGTCGATAGAACTCGGCTACCTGAAAAGAATGAAGAGCTCAGTATTCGAAAGTACTGGAGTAACTAGCAGCCGAATTTCCTCAAATATGGTCAACTATAGAATTCGTGACCGGGCATTCGCTTGTGGCCGTACCGGGAACCTAATTATTGAGTAGAACTGTCAGGCGTTCCCAGAAAGGGCGTTTCGGAACAAGATGTCGGTGGAAATGGAGTTGAGGGAAGCGAGTTCATTGAGTTCAGCCTTACTAGCGCTGAGAATATCTGTAGCGCTAAGGATACAAGCACTGAACTGCTCATTCAGTACATTAATAAGGACCGGCAAAGTGTCCCATATCCTACACAAGCTATCTATCCTATTTCACATGTGGTCAAGGGTTTTCCCTGTTTGGAGCTCCGTGAACGGCGACAGGTTATGAAATCTCTGATTTTTGGGCTTAGCGTTATCATGACCCTGTCGTGATCTTTAACATTAGAACTAATAGCACACTGGAATGCCCCCCCCCCCCAACCCTATTTTCACCGAAGATGTCAAATCACTCGAGTTGGTCGGCAACTTGAAAAACAGTAACCTTGATATGCCCAATGCTCAACTATTCCCTGATGAATAACAATTGAGCGAACATCCTTCAGTACTGTTGGGATGCGCCGTACATTTTGTTCCACTCGCGCTAGTACGCTTGCTTGAGTGCTTAGTTACCCTGCACTATAGCCAGCGGGACCGGTTATACCGAAACAATGCTGTCATCCTTCTCGGCAAATCTTCTAGTAAAGATCCGGTTCGGAAGGATATGAGCCTCAAGTGCCTAAAGTGAAATCGTTCCATTAAACATGCACAGCCGCCACCGCCCCTCCAACCACTGCGACATGCCCGCCCTCATATTTTGGAAATAAGAATATGGTGTTCTTGTCCTACTGGTGAAGACTACTATTACGTAAATCTCTCACGCATCTAAATTGATCTACAAAAATAAATAATAATGACGGACAAGTAAACAAACAAATGCGTGGCTGGACAGATGAAGTAATAAACAACCAGTGGCCAATAGATAATAAAAAGGTGAAGAAAAGGTAAGGAAAAACATGTGAGGGAACTCTTTAAAACTCACTTCACGATAACTGAATCGAACTTTTTTGTCTTTCTCATAGAGACATTCAATCAGTAGCACTCCTGTCCAGTAGCAAATATACGCAACTCCCATCATGGCGAACACCGACCACCATCCACCCACCTGAAATAGAGTTTATAGATTGTTCCTGCACATCAAACCACCCTTTCAGTATGCCATGTGGGCGTTGATCTTGTATTCACAAAATCGATACCTATCTTTTACTGTTTGTTTTTTTTTCTGTGGTTTTTCGAGTGCCAAAAGTTTCCACGCTGATCAGTAATTGGCGTTTTTGACGACGTCATAGTTGTCATCCTTCCGAAAATATTAGCTTTGAAGTCATGACGAATTGCGAAAATCTTCCGCGGCGCGGGACTTAAAGCGCCTAAAATAGGGCCAATGTGACGAATGGGTGCGATCGAGTAGGACGCGCTGTGACTTCAGTGAGGACATGAGGATCACTCAATTAATGAAGACCGAACCTTCGCCCTAGCTTGATTAATGGTAAGGTAGTGTTCCAGCAG